GTTTCCAGTCATGAGGGTATACTCCTGTTCTAGAATTTGACTGTATAACTCACGTAAACGATTTTTAAGGGAAGGTGAAGCGTTCTTGATCATCCTATAGGTGACTTAGTCATGACCGGGCGTGGTGCCTGTGAGGCCTTTTGGTGTTAGATGTATGTAGTTGTTAACGTTGTTACCACGGTTGCCACAAAACAAAAAAATTTCTGACCACAATTTACGAAAAGAAATTNGTCGTTAAAAGAAAACTAAATAAATTCGTTTTACATATGAGGCCATGAGGGCCAGAGGAGCCTATCTACAAACAAATTTTTAGTATTTAATATAAGAAAAAAGGATCTATAAAAAATAAATGCCGTCCTTTAGTAAAAAATTCATTGCACCTATGTGATGCTACATATTATAGTAAAAGAAAACTAATAGGGCGTGTCTCGGGCTATTACCGTTTCGTTTGTGGTAATGCATTTTAAGGTGCACCTCAACTTTCTTTGATGTGTCAGTTAAGCTACTCTGGCGCTCAAGGCCTCATATAATAACTAAATACCTTTACATACGTATTTATATAAATAAATTTTTATTCAATCTCTGTATACGTGCGTGTATAAAGAAGAATATAACAAAAATTTGTGAAACAAAAAACAACAAATAAATATTTTTGCAACGCACGTGTTTTTTTCAAAATATACTTTTCATAAAAACGCGCTTTAAGCTCTTGTCTTTTGAACGGGATCTTAGCCCCAGAAAAAAAAACATTATTTAAAAAATCAACTTAAGTGCATATACCGAAGCGCTAAAGGGCCCAAATACACCGCACAAACTGCTATTCAAACCTCCTTTTTTTCATTTCCTCATATATGGATCAAAGGCCTAACAATAAGTATTGAACTTGTGGCATATTTCGTGATATTCACGGCTCCGCATTTCGCGTTGCATTTCGGACAAATTAGATGTGGTATCACCATATAGATAATAAAATATAGTATAGATGATTTTCAATAAAATAACATCAGTTTAAGATTTCCAGGCTTCTGATATATTAGACTTTAAACCTCTCAACATAAAAACATGTAAATACTGACGCGATAAATAATAAGGGTCTTCATCTAAAGTGATAAATTGGTTAAAATTATCAGTTTATCCGGCAATTCACACTTGATCATGTGATTGTTGGCTTCGTTGGTTTTTGTTAATATATCTATTGATAGAATGTTTAACTTTTAGGTGTGCTCATCCTTAAGTTATTTGTTTTTGTTATTTTATGGCCTTAAATCAATTACATTCAACAATTTTTATTGAGCTTGAGGCCGTTTTTAATGAAAAACTTATTGTGGGAAAGCAACAATAATTTGAAAAAATGGCAGAAGTGATAGCTATTTCGGAAATCACCACATTTCCTCATCTTCTTTCATTTGGATTCGAACCGACGCACAGTGGTCCAATCTGCTCTATTAGGGTAATTTAATTATTATATTAAGAACTAAGACTAACAACTTTTGCCCATAAAATGGGCAAGATCGAATAGCGACCCACGCCTACCAACCATATAATTAAAAAATCGTTAAATTTTTCGTCAATTTCTGGTACATTTTTTAAGAACATGCGCATGGTTATAGATACCTGCATACCTAAAACTTTTTTAACTTTTTGGGATGAATTAAAAATAGAAAGTCCGTTATGTATATACTGTATTGACGCCGGATCCGAATCAGCCGTTTTCTCACCTAACTTTTAGATTACCGGCCACTTTATCGTCTCGATATACGAGTTTTCGTTTTCTCATCAGCGCATTAATTTCTCGAATCGATAAATGGTGGCTCACCCGATGCAACCTCTAAAAATGTGTACCCAACTTTAAATTTTGGTTCGGTTTTGGAGTCAGATATATTATATATTTCAACCAAGGTTTTGGTTTTTGCTAACAGTTGCTCTTGCTCTATATTTGCTTATGTTGCATTGCCAACCTTTGAAATTATATGACGAATGTAGTGAAGTTTCACTCTCGGAAATGTAGTGAAGTTTCACTCTACGGAATAACAAATTTATTTTGACCGGTAAGATAAGAAAACCAAAACACTTTAAAGTGAGGAACAATTTATCTGCCCTGTTGTAAGTAAACGATACATACGATAAATTTGTGTCGAATACACCGGCACACAAAAAAAAAATTAGTGTGATGTTATTTGACCGGACTTACCTATGGTTATGTATTTCGACCCGCAGAATTCGAATTTGAAGTCAGTTTGGCCCATATACCTCCTAGATTTCGAGAAAACTTATGGTTTTAATGAAAAACATATTGTGGAAATAATTTTTCAAGTTATTGTTGCTTTTCCACAATAAGGTTTTTCATTAAAAACGGCCTCAAGCTCAATAAAAATTGTTGAACTTAATTGTTATAAGGCCATAAAATAATAAAAACAAATAAAAACAATCTTCAAAAATTGTTTGGGCTGAACATATAGCAGGCGGCCCCAACTGTCTCCCATTCATAAATATAATTATTGTTATTAATTCGTAATTTGATCATAAATTTATTTTAAATATGTTCGATCAAATACAATAAATCAGTAATTTTGCTTAACAAATATATTGTGTCACTCAACTAAAAATGACAGTTGATTTGACAGATTTCAACTGAAAAAGTGTGAAGGTAATATAGAACTAGAGATCAGTGAGCCTTAAAACGTAGTACGTTTACTTCTTGGGAAATTCTCATTATTTTTAGAGAAATTGACAGCCCATTCGACAGCTGTCAAATCTCAAGGTTTTAATTTCACGTAAAATTCGTGACTAGCGTGTCTAAAACCCTTACCAGTAGCATTTAAAAAACATTTTCTTATTATCAGTCAATTTGACAGCTGTCAACACTCAAAGCTTTAATTTGACGTAAAATTCGTGATCAGCATGTTTAAAAAGCTTATCAGTAACGTTTTTAAAAAGATTCTCTTTTTTTTAAAAATTGGCAGTCCGTTTGACAGCTGTCGACTGTCAAACTTTTAATTTGACATAAAATTCGTGACTAGCGTGCCTAAAAACCTAATAAGTGGTATTTTCAAAAAGATTTTCTTATTTTTAAGGAAATCAGCAGTTGATTTGATAGCTGTCAACTGTCAAAATAAAAATTGTATGGCATATTCAGATTTAGCATAACAAAAATACTACGATAATGCATTTTTATTATAATCGTAACAGCCTTTCTAATTTTTCGCGTAAAATATAGCTTCTCCGACCACTGTGTGACGTAAGAAAGGCGGTTTTGCAATTGGCCAATGGGCGGTTTTGCAAAAACATCGACGATATGTTAAAGGTTGTTTCAATTTACCCTGCAGGGAGTGACGTTAGCTTATACCTAACTTTAGTGTGTTTACGCGAACAGTAGTGGTAACTATTAACTGTATATTCTGTTCGAAAAAGCTATGCAAAAAAGTCTGTTATTTGTTAATTTGTTTACATATTCTGCAGAAGGTGGTCCTATATTGGAATTCCGTCAGACATAACATCAAAATGATGATATAAAATTTCGAACTTCATTTTATTTGTCCTGACACCCATTTTGCGATACATATTTTAATTAATTGAATTGGATTTTTTAAACATGTAATGAATATAGTTAGGAAATATCCTAGATGAATGCTCCTAGATTGTAGATTTTTTTCTTTAAATTTATATTTTTTCACAAACATCCCCTACCTTCCCTTCATTTCAGATTTCACCTTTACTACACAACGAAGACCAAATATACCACAATATTGATTATGAAGTTGATGAATATAAGTACGTGGTAATGGGTCAATTACGGATGGCAACCAAAGTTCATTGACTGAAATTATATTAGAAATTGCAACTGAAAGCTGACAATTGCAGAGTGCTATACTGGAAACTGTATTTTTATGGTTGTCGTTATAGCGAAAAATTAATAATTGTTCTATTATTTCTGCACTTTGTTTTATTTAAATTCTATCGAGATGATCTAAAACTAGATATTTTATAAATTTTAATTCTTTTTACCGTCGGCAGTCACTAAACCAACTGAGGTGGCATTGGTTTCCATAATCTACCCATACATTTTACACTTATTGCTTAAGCTTAGAATCCAGCCCTTAAGAAAAACGAAAAATTCATATACATATTAAAGAAATGGAAAAGAAATTATCTTCCATAGAAATTTCTGAAAGCAGTTTGCAGCTCTTAAGAAAAAATTGTCGTATATATATTTCTTGAAGAAAATTTGCAGCAACGGTAAAGTACTTTTTGAAGTAACAGAAATAATGAAATATATTTCTTAAGATTTCCTTAAGGGCTGGATAGTAAGCTTTAGAATTGGGACTTTTTATTGCATTTTTTTATTTTTTTTTAGAAAAGATATCGGGGCTTCACGTCTACCACATAATGAGGACAAAACCAAGCTACTGATGCATAGATGGCGTTACCCAAGCCTTTCCGTTCATGGCATTGAAGGCGCTTTTTACGAACATGGCGCAAAAACCGTCATTCCAGCTAAGGTCATCGGCAAATTTTCTATACGTTTAGTACCTAATCAAAATCCAGAACACATCACAGAATGTGTGATTGATTACTTGAACGCGAAATGGCATGAGCGGGGCTCTCCAAACAAAATGAAGGTGATTTGTGCGCCATTAAGTAGGTAAACGTATGCTCTAAAAATGTAATTTAAAGGTCAACCTCGTTAGCAGTGGCAAACCTTGGACTGAAGATCCAAACCACCCTCATTATGAGGCTGCCAAAAGAGCCATCAAACACGTGTTCAAAACTGACCCTGACATGACTCGAGAAGGTGGCTCTATACCTATAACATTGACACTTCAAGAAGCCACTGGTAAGAATGTTATCCTGATTCCTGTGGGAGCTTGTGATGATGGAGCACACTCTCAAAATGAAAAAATAGATATTTTCAACTATATAGAAGGTGTAAGTAACAAAGCCGTTTTAGCCATGTTTGACATATATTTATTACAAAATTTCAACTATATTTTCAGACAAAGCTTCTTGGAGCTTACCTGCACGAAGTTGGGAAATTAGATTGAAATTTCGAATTAATTCCACTTACATCACAGGGATAACAATTATGCAGTATATATATCAGCATTAACACTTTGATAACAATTTTTAACGTGCAATAAAAATGTACTGAACAGAATTTTTAAACTAATCAGTCCACGTGTCGCCATATTTATTTTTGTGACCCCGGGTTGAGGTTGATGTATTGGAATCGGAGCCAAAAGGTGCTTTCAATGCTTCATTCTCTCTTATAACCACTGGTGCATTTGCTGACAAAGGGCGAGAATATGGATTTTGCTGTTTTTTCTCATACTCCTCGCGATTTTTCTTCCGTAGCTCCTCGTAACTCAATCCGTGTTTTGCTTGGTCGATTGGTACATCGGTTTCGTAGAATGGAGATGGATCTAAACAGAAAAATGTAAAGTTTGATTCATGGCTCGATGAAAACAGTGAACTTACTATCTAATGTAGGCCGATAAATATCATCAAGCCCCGCAATAGAAGGGCGAGTTTCTACATCTAAATTAAGAGCGCTGCTACGAGGGAGTTCTCGGCCAAGATCTTCGTTTGTGCTTGACAATGTTGAATTAAACGGATTCAAGCCCAGCCCGATTCCCATCCCTTGATCGGGATTAAGCCTACCCATTACGCCGCCATCCTTTCTTCTCTGCTTTAATAATTCTCCTAGCCTTGAATTGGGCAATCGCATTAGTTTTTCTGCGCACTTTTGTTGGTAACTAAATTTTCCAAGGAAATAACCAATTATTACACCCACCACCACTTTAGGCACGGCGCCATACTTAAAGTTGGGCTGAAATATGACAAAAGATAATATAATTAGAGATGAGCACTGTGATTCTTAGAAGAATATTATAAAGCATTTTACATTATTTTATGAGATTGGTTTTGTCAAAGGCTGAAGTAAGCTCAGCAGATTCAGAGTTGAGTGGAGGTCCCAGCCGTCACCAAACACACACGCCCAGTTCTGTTACTGGAGTGCCGACAATCTTACATTCAAGAAGAGAGAGAAACGGATTAACAGTGACGTTCGTTGTTGCAGAAAGACCGGATGTTGTTCTTGTTGT